CGATACTGGTTAATAAGAAAATAGAAATAAAGACACTGAAATAAAGAAAATCTAGAGAGATCAAAGCTTTTTTTGACTCCTAGGGAAAAAAAACAGTAATTTCATTGTAAATCGTTTATATTAAGATCTATAGATGTTGCATACTTCTTGTCATCAGCATTTATCGAGCTTTATTTGTAGTCACAACATCAGACAAAACGATAAATACCCATTCAGATACAATATATACAAGAAATATGTACGTTCGAAAGCATGCTAAACAGAGATAAGCACAGGAGATGATGATACGATAATTCTGTGTTTTCATATCGATTATTTTTAATATTTTTCTTTTTAATACTTAATTTTATAAATGTCCCATATGGCTTTTGAAATAAAATCCAGCGTTAGCTTTAGCTCTGGTCGATATGAATGTTAAATTAGAAAAAGAAAATCAAAAAAAAAATGTATAGATAAACTGATAGTCGATGCTTATCCATTGTTATTTGTCTAATCCATATATTCTCTTAGCTCTCGTTTTTTTTTCATTATGTCAAGTAGTTTCACTGGAATTCAGAAAAATTAGATGAAAATAATTACTTAGGGGTACCCAAAAGTAGTGGCGGATGTACCTTATTTTCTTATAGAAGGCTTGAGGAAATTTTCTTTCTTTGTGAGGTGATAGAGAAAATGAAGCTCTATTTCTCTATGCTATTTCATCTCTATTCAACTGGTATCATAATACTAAAATTTCGATAAGAACTCTTTTTGTGTAAAACTTCACTAGTGTCTGATGCAGATTAACACGCTTTTTCATCTCAATATTTAATCATTTAACACGTTGTATTAATAAACAAAATATACCACAAGATGCAGCGGGAAAAGCTCGATAACTTGTAATTGAACAGTTTATTTTATATATGAAATAAGAAAACAAAGAAATTTCTCTTCGCATGATTTTTTCGAGACAGTGAGCAAATATCAAACAAAATGTGCTAAATCTTATCGTCTTCCATAATAATTGATTAATCGAATACTTCATAACTAATACTATCCTATCTATTATAAAATGGCTTCAAAGCTAAATCAAAAAGATATTGACAATATTTTGATGTTAAATCAATTATAACTAATGTTAGTCTAATTTCAATAAATTTAAGAACACAGAAAACATGAAATAACAGTAATCTCTATCAAATTTGACCTCGTGATTTCGGTGAATATTTCATGAAATCATTTGATTTCTTTTTTCTCACATAATTAAAAAACGGTTTTCAATAACACTCTTTCGAGTCAGAGCCTGCTCTGCAGTTTATTACTGTTTAACCCCCTCTGTATTAATAGATACTATTGGTTTTCATCGGTTTATTGATCGTTGTCGAATAAAAAAAGTAGATACTTGAAAAGAGATCCGTTATTAAAGCATTAATCTAAACTCTAAAGCCTGCTAGATCATTTCTTTTCGAGCTGAAGTTAGAAATTCAAATATGCTCTTTAGTCTCACTAAACTAATATAAAACATACAAAGTGAGAAATCTCTCATAGACTATCATTGTTTTCCAGGATACTCTACAGAGTAAAGACATTTCTTATTTATTTCTAATCTTAGAATAGGAGTTTTTCTTTTTTTTTAAGAACATTTTATTTTAGCTTGATTTCTTACTAATTGTTTTATACGTATTTCGCTTTTCTAAGTTTAACATTGTCACTATTTTAAGCGCTGGATTTAACAGAAAACAAGGTTGCTGCAAATACTTTTTTTAAATCCAGTTACCAAAGTTATGTAAAGGAGGACAGGGAGAGAAAGAGCCATGAAATATTTGACTTAAAATTTATACTCACTATTTTCTTCGAGAGGACGTATAAGTTCCACAATAACTTGACATGGTTTCTTACTTTTGGAAAAATTTACTTTACTCATTATCATTATTTTGATTAAACAATAAGTAATGGCAAACAATTCGAATACTTCGTGCCCAACAAAACGTAAACATATTCGACTTGGTGAATCAGAACCTCCACCATGCGAAATTAATATAGCAACTGTTCGAGAATCAGAAGCTGTTGAGGAAACAACAACTGTAGAGAAAACAACTTCCATATGCACCAAAAGTCGTTTTTCCAGCTGTGCCAAATTGGATGCACTACTTTACGTGTTGGAACAAGACCCGGAATATAAGGGTTTACGCGAGAGTCGTAATGCGGTTTATGATAAGTTCGACAAATTTTGGCTTTTAGTCAACAAAACAATTGTTATACAAATAAGTCACTACAGCCTCAAAAATTTCCGCAATATCTGGGCCATTTTAACTCGTACACTCCAGAGGACAAGCAGGTGCTATATATAGCGAATTTTCACAAGCTCATTCTTTTGCTAACTCCTGACAAACAGAAAATGATTCATGATATAAAAAATGATGAATACCTTATCTACAATTTCAATCATGATGGAACAGACGTGGCATTCTGTTACATCATTTCTCATAAGGAAATGCAGTCATTCGAGCTTAAGTGCGAAGAATTATATAACACAATCAATGCAGAAGGATATCCAATAGCTCAACAACAGCTATTAAACACTGAAGAATTACAACGAGTGAAAAATACAAACAATCACAACAAATTATCAAAATCGCATAAACGAACATAATATCATCCGAAAAAATTTTTTTGTTTACCTCAAATTTTAGTTTTGTTTAGTTCTGTTATTGTTTTAATAAAAATGTTAATTGCATTGAAAAAAATAAATAAAACTTTTATTAATTGCCGAAGTGTGAATTACATGAAGGAAATCTTTGAGTATTAAAAACGGGAAAAAATTCGGCAATTCTATTCATTATGTTTTTATCATTCCAATCGTGGATATCGAATCCAAGAAATTTTTAAACTCATTTTATGTGGACTTCTTAAAAATTTTATATGAATTTTTGAAAAATAAAATCTTTGCTAATTATCATCGAAACAAAATAAGCATATCTGTTGGTTATGTTTTTGTATCTGGATAAAATGTTAGTACGATCAAGTAATAAAAAAACCTTTGCCTCATCGTATAGAATTTTGCCTAGTGGCAGATACAGTAGCCCGATGTCTTTCTTACAATTAATTCTAACTATAGCTTTGAACAGAAGATCAGTCTGTTTCCGACTTCTTTCAATGAGTAGTACCTTGAGTTCTCCTATATATCTCAATCAACCATATACTAGATAAAAGTGCAGATATATACAGCAACTTTGTCAGCATGCTATTGAGCGATTGATTCGAGAAAAATAACTATTAATGTTCGAAATTTCGCATCTCATATCTTCTAAGAAGCTTGCTATATATTAAAATTACTTACTAATTAATGTATCAAATAAATTTGTTTCATCATCTAATGTTATGGGTGATGAATTCTGATCTGATTGTTGTTTAAGACGCTTTAATAATTCCAAGAGATGTTCTTCATCAAAAACAAATTCATTATTTCCATCACTTAAAATAGATGTTTTTGATAAACGACGTATACGTTTTAATGATGAAGTAGATCGGATTGCTAGAAAAATACAATAGTATCTATTAAATAACTAAAACAAAAAAGAAATATTTTTATTTTTTTACTTTGTTGTTGTTCAGTTAAAGAATCAGATTGTATAGAAATAAGAAGACTTTTAACATCTTCACTTTCTTCATCCAATAATAAATCGGATAGATTTGTAACTGTATCACACTAAATTAATAAAATACTGTTATTTTTTTCGATTTCCTTTATCACATATAAATAACTTACTAGAAAATTGCTTTGTAATGGCACATAAGTAAACATATTAGGTAAGTGATCAATTTGAGGTAAAACTGATAGTGAACAAATCAATTTATCACCAGTTATTTCATTCAAAGAACAAAAAGTATAAAGTGATGATTTGTCATCTTTTAATACTGGTTCAGAAATAATACGTGGTTTTCGTAAATTGTTATATTTTTCAGCAATATTTTTTAAAAGTGGTCTTTAAACACACACAAAAAAAAGAAATTATTCTATCAATTCGTTATGGAAGAAAAAACTTACACAGCATCATCTCTTTGTTTTAAATCAATTGTACGACAAATATATTTGAGTGCTCGTTCAATTCGATCTTTCCAAATCGAATTGACTATGTTGTTATTATTAGAAATAGTTGTCATCTTTTAATAATTAGACAGGTTTAATTGCTGATATTTTCTTCATCATTCAAAACAGTATAAAATTAAAAAAAAATAGTTGAATCTAAAGCAAAAAGAAGAGAAGAATCTTTCATTATTTCTTTGTTATTATTGATAAAAACACCGGTAGAGAGAAAAATTTTTTAAAAATGATGGTATCTTAATTACTTTATCATTGAACATACACAAAATGAACGTCACAAAAGACAATAAAAATAAGACTGGTGGCGCTAGATTATCATCAGATTATAAACCAATGAAAACAACAAATGTTCATCTACATTGTTCATTCAATATGCTCAAGAAAAGTCTTTTACATGTTAGATTTTGACAGATAAATACTTGGATATGTACTCAAATCATAATTAGTACTACTTTTCATAAGAAGAAACTATTTACAAGTCTTTTTTTTTCGGATTTAGAATCTAAAGCTTTATTTAACAAATTTTAATCAGTATTATTCTGTTTTTTTTTCTTGTTCGAATTATTGAATTAATCAATTGTTATTCAAACGATTTAATTGAAATCTACAAATTCAAAATACATACAGATGATTTTGTTCAGGTTTCCACATCAAAGTCTTTCAGTCAATCTTAAGCGCCATCTATTGTTCAATCATTATTTATTGGTTATAATAGAATAAATTGTTGAAAAAAAATACTAGAAAATAACAACAAACAAACTCATCTCGCCGTCCCAGTTAGTTTGTTAACCATCCAGGTCATTTGTCGATTTCAATATTGAACTTTTGTAGTGTATTTCAATTATTAGAATTATTCTTTTATTTTTATTGTTTATCAATTATTGTACATCAATCCTAGAAAAGAATCTAGACTTTTACAATGCCATCCGTACCACCAACATCAATAGCAACACGTAAACGTACTCGATCTACAAATGTTTCTGAAAATAATCATGATCATCAACAAACAGCATCATCAAGTACATTACCAACAACAATAACAACATCAATTAATAATACTAATTCATCTCATTTAACAACTACAGCTGCTGTTAATGCTCCACCCAAACGTCAACGTAATAATCCACCACCAACAGGACCACCTCCACCGATTGCACCACGTACAACTTATTCATTTCGAAATCGTTCTTTAACACCTGATCCTCGTCATTTGACAACAAGATTTCCATCAGTTCATCCACCACCATCGAGATCAAACAATCGACAACGATATAATTTACGTGCACGTCGTCCTCAATCACAAGTTCGTCTACCTCAAGTTTCAACAACACAACCAATTATACCACCACGTCGTACACGTCCTCCTATTCCGCCTATAAATCAAACAATACCATCATCAGCATCATCGTCTACTATTGTCAATCAATCATCATCTTTAACTCTTCAATCTTCTACTTCTGTATCACCACCGACACCACGACCACTATCTGTAATTCCACCAATCATAAATCCAACACCACCTGTTATTCAACCACGACAATATCGTCTTGTTTATATATCTGATGATGATGATGAACCACAAGCAACAGCAACTGTTGTTAATACAACATTTGATTTAGTAACAGAAGATGAAGATGATGAATTAATAAGATCACATATTGCAGCTCGTCATCGATTGTCAAGATCAACAACTGGTATTGGTCTTAATACACGGTAAATTATAAAAGAAGAATTTTAAATAAATTTTATTTTCTTTGTTTTTTTTTCTAGTTTACGTACAAGTGCAGCAATGCCATCAAGTGCAACAAGTACATCATCATCATCATCATCATCATCGAATTCATCAAATTCAACAACAGCAACAATAAATACTCAAGATTTTGTTAGTGGTGTTGCTTATGTGCGGTTAAATCGTGCTATTGAAATCGTTATTGATTCTATTCAATCACTTGAAGGTGCTGTTAATAGTTTTGATCAACTTGTTTTTGGTCTTATTTATGGTCGTTTGGGTACAAGAGATGAATCTGAAAGTATTGAGGTAAGAAAAAAAAAGAAAATAGACTTATGTCTTAATTGATTATTTTAAATTTTGATAAAAAAAAAATCTAGGGTATGATTCGTTTGTCACGTATACTTAATCTTAGTTTACCATCACGATTAAGTCAAGATGAAATAGATGCACTACCAAAAATCATTTTTGTCAACAAACCTGGTTCAACATCATCAATACTTTTAGCTGAAAAATGTCCGATATGTTTAACTGAATTTGATGATCAAGAAACAATTAATAAATTACATTGTACACATTTATTTCATCCACAATGTATTTCAACTTGGCTTAGTGTATGTTTCTTTTTAATTTTTATTAGAAAATTATTTTCATTTTTTTCATAGGAAAATGATTCTTGTCCAACATGTCGCCGTAAAGTAATGGGTGATTAAAATATGAATTTATATAGAAGAATATTATTATAGACAATAAATTTTGTTTTGTTTTGTTTGCCATATTTGATAAAAAAGAAAATTGTTTTTTTCTCCAATCATCTCGAATTAATAATCTCAAGAAAACCAAAACAAAAGAACTATATATATATATATATACTAAAGTCCCGGTGAGAGTTTTTCTCTCGCTATATTTAATCTTTATTGTTTTGTACAGTAGTCCATAAGCGAGAGATATTTGTATGTGTGCGTGTTCATTCCAATTTTTTGGTTTTCTAACTCACTTTAATTATATGTTCTACTTTCGTATTCGTTTCTTTTTTTGATAAAAGTATTATTATAATATATATATATCTTTACGTTCTTCGTTTTTACCTTTGTCAGTGTGTGCGTGTGTGTCTTTTTATGCAGATGTAAAGATTATTTCATAGAATGTTTTGTGTGTGTGTGAAAGCAAAAACTAGACGCATATATCATGAATAAAAAATATAGACAAATGCATTTATCAGTGCTTTGTATGATAGTTTTTTTCTTGAATTTGGGATGCGTAAGAATAAAAGCGAGAATGATTTGATAGAATTCATTGATCAATACTGTTAGATGACCTTATTCCAGAGCAGAAAAAAAGAACTATCCCCGCATGAATGCAAGTCTACTGACAGAAGGATAAAAACAGAATAAGATATACATACTGTCATGCCCTTATCATACATGTCTCTCGTAAATTATAGCTTTCGTGTTGATGGTTTTCGTTTATCTTTTCTCTTTTTCTTATTTTATAAACTCTTTTTTCCTGCAATACTGTAATCTTTTTTCTTTTGCTCTATAATCGAAACACATTCATTTTCTTTTTACGCTATTACAATACAGAGAACTACTGATCAAATCTAAGTTATATCGATAGGGATTCTAATCAACTCATTATAATCAATCATTAAGAACAAGCCATGGCACTAACCAGAAAACAACTCATTATTATTGGTAGTCTAGTAGCTATAGTGATCATTGGTCTTGTAGTTGGTATTCCTGTTGGAATTGTCGTTGGTAGACAAAAATCTACATCATTAACAGTTGAAAAACAAGCTTATCAGATACTTGAAAAGAATCCATTAATTGATGGGTAAGACTAATGTATTTTCATTGTAGACTGATATTACAATCAAAACACTTTAAATATATGTTCAGATCAATGTAAGAAAGTCAAAAGAGATCTTTATATTATCTATTACAAGTTCATAGTATTTTACTATCAGATTTTGATTCATTTTCAATATTCTATTGAGAATAGATATGCACTGGAAAATATTTCTTAATATGTAGAAAATTGGGTAATCTGAACTTTGGTCGAATATAAAAATGTCGAAAAGCACAAATATCGAAGTATAAAAACGTCGAAAGTAAAAATATTGGAGGACAAAAAATATCAAAACAGATTTAGATTCTTTTACTAAGCGTATAAAATAAGCAACAGTTAAATGTAAATGAATTTTATTATTAAATAAGAAATGGATCAAAGACAAGCAAAAAATTCTCCATAAGTCAATTGAACAATTTTATTAAAATTTTTGGTGCATCATTTGTTCTTCGCTACGATGTTTAACAGGTATGTATGCTCTTCGCCGAAAAACATTTTGAAAGTATTTTTTGACCATGGAGGACGCTTGAAAGGTGAAGTTGAGGGTAAAATGAGTTGACCTTTTCATGCTTAGTAAACCTGTATAAGAACTAAAGGTCTCGCAACAGTCTAAAGCATCCCGCAATTCTTTCGATGAAATCCTTTTCGGCGAAGAGCATTACATTCGTTTAACCGAATACAATGCAATTAAAATCAACTTGCGATGACGTCTTTATGGATAATACTTGGAAAGCATATCTTTGAACAATTTCTTTTTTAGATTTCGACATTTCTGTTTTTTACATTTCGACATTTTTCTTTTCTACATTTTTCTTTTCTACATTTTTCTTTCTACCAAAGTTTAGAGAATCGAAAATTGCTTGATATATAACATAAAGTATTTCAATAACATTGCGAGCTGTTGAAGAATTCATGTTACTTTCACTTTAATTATGAATCAGAATTGTTTGTGTAAAAAACAGTGCACCTGGTATAAATCGGTCTGGTGAACACAGGCTAATCTAAAATGTCAATAAACTATCAGGGTAAGGCTGAATTTGGTTGAAAGTAAAATGTTGAAGACTAAAATGTCGAAAGGAAAAATGTCGGAAATAAAAATGTCGAAAGACAATGTATAATATTAGATAAAGAAAAAATTTTGTCTTTCGACATTTTTATTTTCGATGTTTTTACTTTCGACATTTTAGTTTCGACATTTTTCAGAAGAACCATATTTTCTATGAAAATATATGAAATCAAACAAGTATTATACTTTAAACAAGAAAATAATTTTAATCATGATTTAAACAGAAGAATATTGTTCATTAACCTTTTCTATTGTATTTGTTGAATCAATAAAGTATTGACGACAATATCAAGTATTATAATAATAGTACTTGAAAACATATGTTCGAGACTTTATGGACATAGCAGAACAACTAAAGCACATGAATTCTCCAATAGAAAAACGTTGAATATTTTGTCACAAAAAGAATCGAATAAAAATGACAACCGTTAAAGATCTTCAATAAATTTTTATTCTTTTCTTTAAAATTTACAACTAATGTCTAGGCCAGAATCAGATAGGAGTGAGCGTAGCTTTAATAATTCGATAATTGCAACAGTTAGTAACCTTTGATTTCCAGCAATCGAAAAAGAAAAGCTCCAGACGTCGTTATGTTTTATCTAAAACTACGTAGGAAGGTTTGTTGGTAAAATGTCGAAAGACAAAATGTCGAAAAGCAGAACGTAGAAAAACAGATTGTGGAAAAAAAAAATGTCGAAACAGAAAATGGCGAAAAAATTCAAAAGCACTGGCGTCTAAATGTTGTCGAACTCAGATGTGATGTGAATGTGGTGTAGATGTGGATCTGATGCCCCCGTGGATTTGATGTAGCTGTCAATGTAGCATAGGTCTGGATGCAGAATGAGCATAAGAGTATTGCATTAGAATTATCATTAGCATTATTTATTGCTAAGGCTTATGGTTTTGCCTTGCCATTAACCAGTAACACAGATGCTTCAGCATTATTGCCATTGAAGTTAAATAATCTCAAAGTGGAAGCATTAAGTTTAGATGATTTTTAATTCTAATACACGTAGTCAAGGTAAGTTTTGCAGAACTATTTGAACATGCTGCCAATAACTTTTAGGAACTACCTGGAAATACTACTGGTACCATTTCAGCTGCTGCCTGTAGCACACCAGCGTTGTCCGTAGCATTTCAGGTGTTAGCTGCAGCATCTGGGGTGTTGTTTGTAGCATTTCAGGTGTTATCTATAGCATATCGGAGGCTATCCGTAGCATCGCTGGTACTGTCTAAAGCGTCTCAGATGTTATCTGTAACATCGTGGATGTTGTCCATAGCATCTCAAGTGTCAGCTGTAGCATTTCAGGTATTGTCTCTAGCAGTCTGTGGGTTTCGGTATGGATTTAAGTGAGTCTGATGTGGTTGTGATTGTGTAGGATGTGACGGCAGGTGGGGATGTGGACCTGCTTTTCACTTGCAGTCAAGGCTCCAGCACCGCCAAAACTACAACCACGTGCACATCTTCACCCTATACTTGCACGCTACGAAATTCTAACTTTCGACATCTTGATCTTCGACATTTTCACTTTCGACGTTTTTCATTCGATATTTTACCACTTTCCCCGTAGGACAAAATTATTTTAAAACTCATCGTCTTTGTATAGAAGAATTTCTAAAAATACATAAAAATAGTGTTCTATGTCGATGTTATCTTGACTTTATGTTTAATAAACGAAATCACATATCCATCAAGTGAACTCAAATAGAATACTTTCGATTTAGAAGATGATCGGTTTTTAAATTATTTTCGTCTATAAAAAAATCACACAAAACAAACTTCCAAAGTTCTCCTCTTTGGGTTTCGTACAACCACAACGTCGCTAACTGTTTCTTTTATCCTTTTATTGAGCTTACACCCATCCTTCTTTAATTCTAGCAAGAGTACTAGTTATTTTTTTCATAATATTTTTATCTCATTTTTCGATCTATTTTTTCAAGACACAATGATTTACCTTGGCGTGTTCGTCAAAAATTTCGAAATAATATCAATAATCTTGATTTGTACAATATGACGCAATACCACGTAAGTAATACTACACCATCACAGACAGATATAACACGTCTACGACAAGGACAAGTTGGAGGACAGGTTTGTTTCAAGTTTTTCTTTTCATGTCTTATCCAAATCAGAAAATCCAAAAATTGATAATAGTTTTGGTCAATTTATACGACTTGTGCACATCAAGGGAAGGATGCAACAATAAGTTTTTTGGAACAAATTGATGTTATGAATCGAATTATAGCTAAATATCCAGATGTATTTCAAATGGCTACAACAGCTGAAGAAGTTCGACAAGCGTTTTCTACTAAGCGTATAGCAAGCTTATTTGGTGTTGAAGGTGGACAAGCTATTGAAAGTTCATTTTCTATTCTGAGACTTTTCTATCAAATGGGTGTACGATACATGACATTAACACATAATTGTAATATTCCATGGTAAACAAACAAAGCAAAACATTTAAAACTTTTTTAAACTGATTAATGAATTCGAACTTCTGTGTTTTTTTCAATTAAGGGCTGATCAAAATCAAGTCGATCGAATTAATTCAACATTAATAAAAAATAATGGTCTAACAGATTTTGGTAGAAAAATTATAGCAGAAATGAATCGACTTGGAATGTTAGTCGATCTATCACATGTTTCAAAGCAAACAATGATTGATGTACTTAACATTACTCAATCACCAGTCATATTTAGTCATTCATCAGCTTATGCATTATGTAATCATGCACGAAATGTTCAAGATGATGTACTTGAATTAATCGTAAGTTTTGATTTCAATTTAAAATACAAAC